AATCATTGATTCTAGCTGTAAGACTTGCATTTTTTACCAAGATATTATTTTGGTAGAAATTTCAAGGTTGAAATCACTCCGAGTACACTATTATTGAAATTTGCTTGATGTTCTCGAGAACTTGATTGCTACGTTTCAAAACTTGTTAAATCTCACAGATATACTTCTCAAACTGTTGTGCCTTGACTTCGCCCTGTCAAAAACCCTTTACTTTTCTCTGTATGCTGTCATGATAAGGAAGGTTACTAAATTCCGCACTGAATTTGCACACTCCGGAACGCTTGTTTTAGAAGGTGTGAGAGATCCGACCTTAACTACCTGTCTGCCAAGGTTCATATGTTCCGCAAGTGTCTGAGGTTTTCTGTGAAGATCAAAAGGATTTTTGAGATCTGTCTGAGCTTTGTCGTTCTGTAGGATTTTATATGTATGTGTTGCTTCGTGAGTTTTGACTGAAGAAATATCAGGCTCAAAGATTCTTGGAACACCCTGTATAAAAAGTTATGATTTTTCAAAAAATCGATACAAGACAGCGATTTTGACTTTTTGGCATTTTTTAAAATAATAACTTCTGTTCAATTGGAAAGAGCGGGTGAAAAACACATGATACCGACTTCCCCGATTTTTATTGCAAAATAGATCTTTACGATGGAACTCAATAAAATCTGTGTAATTTTCATCTATAGCTTCTAGTAACGTGATGTAAGCTTACAAGAAAGCCACTGTAATACTTTTATGAGCATGTTTTACTTCCTCAACACAATGAAAGCAAGCTAACTGATTGGGAGAATCTAAAGATTCGAACTTGTGAAAATGATGTAGCACAACTTTCATTCCAGCCTGCTGATACCGATATTGAGAGAAGTTCAGAGCGATGTTTGAATTCGCAAAATCACTTGCGACTGTGATACTCATTTCCAAACAAGAGTCAACGCTATTCCAGTATCCGGCCCCAAAATTTTTTTGCCGTGGGTTTTGCTGAAACTTGGCCCAAGGTGGTTGTTCGGCCCTCTGATGCCGAATATCATATTGATTTGTACGGTAGCGTCATTTTCTAGGGTTACGGTGGGTATACCGTAGGGGGTCAAAATCACGGAATTTGCTGAAAATTGGTCCGGGGAGGGGGTATTCGGCCCGCTAATGCCGACTATCATACTTGCTGATCGCCATAGCGGGTTAGGAGTTACGGTAGGGTACGGTGTGGGCTCGGGATGACAAGTCGGGCAGGAACTATGCGTCGAGGCGGTATCAAAAATGCCGTTCACGGATATGATGCTCCCCTCATCGCAATAACTAGCTATTTTAAAATTACGGTGGAGCTGTATGAGGTCCATTGCAATTTCGCAGAAATTAAAATGGTTTTTGACTCTCTCAACACGAGTACTACATTGGTGTTAGTCAGAGGTTGATGTCGGTGTTCAATTAATTATCCGTTAGATAAATTAGCACTAGATATTTTCGCAAGCTTAAACTGCATACTCCGACCCGCGCACTCTACGAAGCTGCAACCTGGGGCTACTTGGTCTTTATGCTACAGCCTCCAATCGATAGTTATGGCAGTTTTCCATTCGATGGCGCTTCGTCGGCTTGAGGAGGAATTAAGGGACTTCACGCTTGCCAAAGTGTACGACAAGCTGAGGTTGAGCGAAGACCCATTCGAGGAATGGCTTTGAAGGGTAGGATTCCTAGCCACGCCCAGATGTCCTACCTATAAATTCCCGATGACGATCAACCTTGCTCGAAAGCGCCGTTCTGCCATCGGAGGGAGTGTCGCTGCGGACCTACAGGCAACACCAAGCCGAGCGTGAGCGTGACGCGTGGATCCTTTTTCACCACGTGCAGCCAGCCCCTAGCTAAGATCTTCGCTCTGTCCTACTTCTGGTTACATAACATCGGACTGGTCAAGGACAAGGAGTACGAGCTGGGGATAGAACATACGACCATCGTCCAGTGAAAGCAGTACTTCAGGAATGTATGTTGCGAGCACTCCGACGGAACCGGATAATGCTGGGAGGATTTGGTCACACCGTTGTGATCGATAAAACGTGTGTGACCAAGCGGAAGTATGATCGTGCCGATTTGCGCAAGTACATCAGCTGCTTTTTGAAAGCTACGAGGGGGGAAGCGGAATGTCCTTCCTCAAGCTCGTACGTCGACGCGACGCTCGAACTCTCTTGCGCCGCCGGTTACACTCACTTAACCGTGAACCACCAGCTCAACTTCGTGGATCCAAGGACAGGCGCCCACACCCAACATTGAAAGTCACTAAGAGAAATTCAAGCGGATGGTAAAGCAGAAGTGCGGTATCAATAACAGGCGCTACGCAGATTACCTGAGGGAGTTCCTTGGAGACGAGAGTTCGACAAGCGTGATGAATCCCTCTACAACTTCTGGAGGCAGGTGGCCTACCCGGTTGACTGCTGACTGACAAATTCTATCCCAACGGCCCTCTTTAGGGCCACCAGCTTACTTTTTCTGACAGTCTACAATTAAATTTGTGCCCTTTTCAGGTCATTTCAAATTTTCAAAAGCCAAAAAAAAGGTTTCACCAAGCGAAGAGCATGTTATTCGGAATCACCCTTTGGAATAAAGCCTTTAGATTAGGTTTTAGCCCGATCTATGGTTTTTGACCTCGCATCTACACCTACCGTAACTACACAACAACGCGTTGTGGCGGTCAGCAGGTATGATATCCTATCCGGCATCAGCGGGCAGAATAACCCCCTTGGGCCAAGTTTCAGCGAAATCGTGGTTTTGACCCCCTACCGTATACCCACCGTAACACTAGAAAATGAGGCTACCGTACAAAACCAATATGACATTCGACATCAGCGGGCGAATAACCCCTTAGAGCCAAGTTTCAGCAAAATCCACGGCAAAAAAATTCTGGTGCCTGGATAGTGGAAGTCACCAAGAGTCACTACGGCGGACTTTGGCGGACTACGTTCATCGGCCTCTATGCTATTTTGAAGGACAGCTTCCGCTAGGGTTCCCGCGCAAAAGCCTGCAAGCCTGGGCAATTCGTCCCTTACGATGCTTAAGATGCTGCTGGTGCTTGGAACCAAAGGTACATTCTTCCACATAGCCAAACAATCTCAACGTTATAAAGAGTGAAAAAACGGGCACAGCGTAACCTGTGTATACCTTATTAAGGTAGGCCTTCCTAAATATGACTACAAATTTGGCTGCGGTTCTTGCGCCACACGAACGTCACATTAAACGCTCAAACAAGAATATCACTTCAACACTTAGCTTAGTCACTTCAAATTCAAAAGCTATCATATGCATGCAAAAAAATTTCGACCAAAAACGAAAGCGAAGAAAATGCGGTGTCAAAACTACATACACGGCGCGTGCGACCACCTCCACTGTTACACTTTTGTGATCGCCCTATGTACGAACAAGTGTTACAGCACCGTTGGTGGGTCTTGAAGTAAGGGTTAACGCCGATTATCTTTTCTTCGAAAGAGGTTCCTCAAAACATAGTCAATACTTTCATACAACATTTTGCTGAACTTCTATTATCGCTAAGTATTCCAATTTAGAAACGTAGCATAAATACGTTTCTCATGTACTACAATTCCTTAGTTATCGCTTGCATGCAACACTCTCTAAAGCCTTTTTTAAGCAGGTTAGAAGATCAAAAGCAGATATCTTATTACGGGTCAGTCACCTTGTACTTGGCAAGTTTTCATGTTCGAAAAGTAAGGTACATTACAACTACTCATTCATTTTCACTCAATCTGGATTAAAAGCGCTGTGCACAAATTTCCCTTGGACGTTTTAGTGGGGTTATAAGTTCTAAGTGGAAATAATTAGTCACCCTGTTCTATACATGTACCCCTCCGCGCGCTCATCGTGGTCGTTGAAAGGGATAAAATGCAATATACTCTCGAACGTCATTTTTGAGTGTCTTATCCAACGAGTAAAAATCGTTCCTTTTTTCATTATGCGAGACAACACTGAGACTCAGAGTAATGCCAATTATTACAAATCGAACCAATTGTACCAAAGCTCGGTTATATTGAATGGGTAATAGTGGGAAAATTGTTGACAAACTCTGAATAAGTTTCTAACGTTTAGAAATCTATTGGCGAAATCATTACCAAAAGACTAATGACCAATGCTACATTTCCAAGCGGACATTCTATCCGCAATTCGGTACATGGATAAAGCAGATTGGACACAGGTACTTCAATTTGTTTCATTTTTTTTCAATTTTTTGCAGCCGATGCGCGGCTCTTGATCAACACAGCGACTAACGCGCAGTCTTCAACGCACTGCAGCGGCACATCTTTGAGGCCGCAGAAGCTTCGAGTCTTGCAGCGGTTTACAGGCATCGTTCCGGCAAACCTCAATCAAATGTTTGCTTAGTTGAATTTATCTATCGCGCAAATTTCAGAAATATAAACTGAAAAGAGCGAAAACGACAAAATGCTTTTCTCCAGAACCCAACTTTAAATCTTTAATTGTTAAGCAGAACCTCCAAGACTGGAAAAGCAAACTGGGGTAGAGTGTTTTGAGACTCTATGATTCAACAACATGCGCGCTTCGATGTGTAACCTCAAATCGCCCATGGCGGGTTGGAACACGCAGAACACTTCAAGAGCTAATTTTAGGTAACAGATGCAATATTTTGCCAGGGTCTCTGCTTGGATTGCGGAGGGGGGGGGGGGGGTCTGTTATTGCGACGCTACAAAACCAGCCTCCACTCTGCCGAGAGGCTTTCTTCAGGGTACTCCGCCTGTCCGTTTTTATGTTTGAGTTTAGCGTGAATCATACCACAGAGATGTGGACAATTCGGCGGAAACCAAGTGAAAACTTGCGTAGTCGTTGTGCGTCTATGGTTCAAAACCCGCAAATTTCCTAAAAGCAAAAAATGCTAGTATACCGACTGTGCCTACTAAAAAAGAATGTGCTTTTCACCATTGTTGATGTTGGGAGCACCTATATAAAAGGAACTTTGAGAATGATGTGCATTCCTTTTCCCTCATGTCGTTTCCATGCGAGGTTGGACACTAGTCATCAGCTTCATCTCATTCATGCGTTTTCATATCAATAGTTCAACTCTATGGCCTCCATGGCCGATAACATGGAATCTGACAGTTAATGTAAGTTTATGAGTACCACCACCAAGTGAACCCACATATTGCAGGAATCTACGAAGGAAGACGTACAACCGGTTGTCCACATCTACCTAAATTGTTCTTGTAGCTACACCAACAAGTGCACACCTTCAATACGTCATGGATACACATTCATCAGGCAAATTGACAAGCAGTATCAGGTGAAACAAACCTGCAAACAATGAGCTTCGCATGAATGGAGTGATGTGACGAACGCCACAACTTCAGTGGAAACATACAAAACAATTATAATCTCTGGTTAATAGATTACGAAATCCTTGATGCTATGCAAGTGAAGAGAACTTACTAGCGAAAAGATGCTTTTAGTCGAAGTGGCCGATTGCTAGATAAGCCCAGGCATAATACACAATTTCATTTGCAAAATCATTTGGTAATTAGTGCCCGGCTCGGTCTTGAAAGGCAGGCTAAACATCGTTTTTAAAAACAAAAAAGGTGTCGTAGAAATGACATGGGCAACGTCAGACATAACCTCTGTTTGTAACTTAATATGTGAGATTGCATAAGCCCTGTTAGTGACGGCACCAAAACTTCTAACTTCTCAGTGAAACATTTTCTAGCTTAACAAAATGTAGAAATGTGTTCTACTGACTAACATATAACCGAATAAAACAAAAGAAACAAGGAAGCAAGGAGAAATCACTGGAAATAAGCAGGTTCTAGTTTCGCAGTTCGTCAGCTAGCGTGTGTAGTGTGCACTACACATATTAAGTTACCAATGACTCGACGATACACATGCTTCAAAGTTATTGCGCATCGGCATGGCTCTTCGTGCTCTTTTGCAAAGCGCCCAATTAAAATGCAAGGCTAATGTAGCCAAATGGCTTGTATGCAGCGCAGAGACAAGCTATGACACCAAATAGAGTACATGAAGAATATTTTTCTTAGAAGATGTAAAGTTTTGAAAACTTAGGCGATGAGTACGTTTCATACCCTAATTTCCAGAATATAAGGCGCACCTGTCGCGCGCGAAAGCGCGACAAATGCGCTTAAGAGTTGCTAAAGAACCCGAGCGATCGTTTCTAATCTTCGACTCTGCAAGATCACACTTGAATGATGAAGTAAAAGAGGAGGTTCAGAAAGTTTCAAAGATTGTTTGAAATTTGCTGAATTCTCGATTCCTCAGAGATTCAGCAATATATCTGCAAAAGATAAGAGCGAAAAAAATTCAACAGGCGGTCTCTCAAAAATCCGCTGACTCAGCGAGCGGTCTTCCGAAAAGTCCTGATTGCTTTGCAAAAAATCCGCGAGCGGGGTGCGAGAGATCAGCAAACTATTTTTCCGGTGCCCGCCTGTCCCCGGCGATTGTCTGAGTTGATGTATCTGTCAATAAGCCTTTCAAGGATAATTTGAGGAAGCATTGGGATGCCTGGATAGCCGACAATACTCACGTAGAAACCACCAGGGGAGGAAGAATTAAGGGACCGCGGCTTGAACTGATTGTTGAATGGGTACTTCAAAGTTTCCAAGAAGTCAGTGTCGATTCTATCTTAAATGGATTCAATGAAGCCTTGACAACAGATATAGACTTAAACGATCTCAATGATAGCTTTAACTCAATGAATTTCGAATATAGTAACAGTACGGGTGTTTGAGTCTTTGCTTTTTGTTGTGCTGAATGTAATAAAAGAATTTGTTTCAATTCAACTGCAGAAAATCGTGAAAAGTCAGCACTTTTCGGCTTTCGCGACGTCGCACGTCGCTCGCGGCGTCGCAAATGAGGCCGCGCGCGGTGCACGAAAATGCGCCTTATACTCTGGAAATTAGGGTAGTCTCCTCCAGGGCTGGAGGACTGAGTCTGTCTGGAGCATATTTTCTGAGAGTTCATAAACCTGTTCAGTTTTTCGACATGGACTACTTCCTTAAAAGCCTATCCTAGAGACAGAAGACAGATTCATATCGTCTACGTCACCTCTGCTGTTTGCCTTCGATATGTTCAAAAGACCACTTTGCCCCAACGACAACCTGATTCAAAATGTTTGTTTTTTGGTTCCAAAATCAGTCCTTTCTGATACATATAAAGCGAGGTGTCAACGGATTTCCTATAAGTCAAAGGAAACTTGGTAAAACTTGGCGGAACCAAAGGAGATTTCGTTTTAAAAAAACCCTAGAAGCGGACTCGTAACGGTCCTATTGGCAATATTCTATTTCATACAGCTCATCGTAAAAGCACTCTGAGTGAATAGGCATTAATCTGCGAAAATTATACGGTATGCATTCATTGTATGCAAAGTTGTATTTAAAGGCAGCGTCCAGGCAAACTTGGACATATGGGGATCTCAGTGGACCGTAATCTTGGGATCCTAACTAAGACACTGCCCAACCGGCAGCTGAGACAGTGTTCTAACGACTGACAATGAGATCTTCGCCTCCAAACTGGAATGATATCCACGAAAGTCCGTAATGGAGGAAAATGGACTTCCAAACCCCATTTTATTCGTTGGCGGTAGAAACTAGTCGGAATATACTTTCGCTAGCGTTTTCCAAAAAATTTTTATCTCATCGCAACCACGAGGCAAAGCGGTGTCATGAAAATGATTCAACCCTACTTGAGCTCTCGCTTGCGAAAGAATCATGCGAAAAGTCCATTTAGAGTGGGACAAAATGGGATTTACCTCCCATTTAAATAGACTTGAAAGCCCATTTTACTCCCGGTAGCAAGGTGAGCTGGGACTAAGCCCATTTTTGACCTTTTTGCCCATTTTTGATGTCGATTTTTTGAGAATGTGTTCCTTAGCCCATTTTAAGGTAACAAGTGAGCGGAAAAAGTCTCATGCCTTTTACGAACTCTGAAATAAGTGCTTCTTTCTAAACTCATACAAACGCTATAAAAATCATGGAAGAAGGTTAAATTTGCCAAAATACTCGCAAACGAACTCAAATGCTTTCAAATATTAGGTCGACGCGCAGATTCCTATGTAAATCAAATAAAGTTTGTTAACTCTTAAAATCATCAACCAAAACTAAATTTATGATTTGTATTTGAAACTAAAAAAAGATTTGTGTTTCAATATAATTACTCAGAAGCTATCTTTTGACTAATCTCGTAGAACCAGACCTTAAAGACGGCATTTCGAACGCGATTTTGAGTTTCGTCGCAAGTATTGAGAAGTGCCGTTAGCTAGCAAGAAAAATTCTGTAAAAAATTTCTTACTAGCAATAGTCCATACATTCAACTACTTAGAGATATAAACAACGATGCTGGAAGACAAAGACGAGTTAAGTAGAACATTTGCGAAGTCATCTTTTGCAGACTCGTAGTTTTTACGAATCAAAAAACCCTTTGGGCTGTAGTGTAGTGCAGGGTTTTCTGTGAGATAAGCATTTTGATTCACAGATTGCAGGGCAAGTCTAACCAAAGTTTGCTTTCTACAGAAAGCTCTTCACACGAATTTGATTCAATGCAGATTCACAGAAGTCTTGAAAAGCGAAGGGCCAGATATTACATAAATTTCAGTTTTGGAAGTAATTTAGATGAGTAGTCATCGATAATAAATGGCATTTTATGAGGTGTAACGAAGTGGGAAAGAATAAAATACCAATGTGACTGATATTGTACTGCTAGGTCAACCTAGTTAGGTATCGACCATTTGGTGGAAGTGAGTTTGCAAAAGTGAGTAAACAGGTTGAAGCAAGTTGGAGGAAGGTTTGCCGAAGAAGTTCTAGATGGAATGAATGAATTCGTGAATGCTATTTCTTATCGCACCGCATGGACTAAGAAGGGGAAGTTCACTTGGTCGGAGTGGCGATTTGGAAGGAAATCTATACTAATGGATAGAGCTCAAAAAGCTGATTTTAGATATACCTTCTATATCTGCGATGCGTCGTTCTGAAAAAAGTTATGAGTTTTTTCGAAGCCAAATTTTCGTGCATTTTAAGTAGCAAAATCATGATAATCGCTACTTCTGAAAAAAGTTATGAGCTTTTTTGAAGCCAAATTTTCGTGCATTTTGAGTAGCGAAATCATGGTAATCGCTACGCAAAAGTGTGCAAGCTCGAGCAAACCACCTAATAAGCATTGTAGGTCTAATTCAAGTTCATCTGAACGCTTTCGAATGTTTTTTGACCAAGTTGTTCATCCGCAGGTCGTAATTTCATTCCTAGATCACATTTCCATTATGTATACAAAAAAGCCCCATAACCTCCATCTAGAAAAACGCGTCGCATAGGAAACCTTTTGGAAACTACTAGTGGATAAAACGTAAAACGATGTTCTCAAGTATATCTTCAATATCTGCGACGCGTTCTTTTAGATGGAGGTTATGGGCTTTTTTTGTATATATAATGGAAGTGTGATCTAGGAAAGAAACGACGGCCTGTGAATAAACAACATGGTCGGAAAACACCCGAAAACGTTCGAATGAACTCGAACCTAGACCTACAATGCTTACTAAGTGGTTTGCTCAAACTTGCACACTTTTGTGTAGCGATTATCATGATTTTGCAACTCAAAATGCACGAAAATTCGGCTTTAGAAAGGCTCATAACTTTTTTCAGAACAATGCATCGCAGTATAAGAAGGCATATCTGAGATCAACTTTTCAAGCTCTATCCACTGGTATAGATCTCCTCCCGAATCGCCACTTCGACTACGTGAACTTTTCTTGTAAGTCCATTTTATTCGCACAAAAAGCCATGTCGCGGAGACTTTCGTGGATATCATTCCTGGACCCCAAGATCGTTTTTCGCATGGCATGGCGCGACACATCACTTTCGCGTGGGTCCTCGCGCAAAAGCGTGCAAACACGATGCAAGTTGTCCGATAATACGATCCTGGGACCCAGTTTGGAGGTGTATATCTCAACCGTTAGTGAGTTTGCGCTGCCGTTCACTGTCTTAGTGAGGGCCCCAAAATCACATTCCACGTAAAATCTTCAAGGATCCATATTTGCCCGGACGCTGCTTTTAAGACACCGAAGGGAGCAGCAAGCCCCCCCCCCCCTCCCAGAGAAGTGGAGAATGATATGATTGTGTACGGCAGCTCAAAGCCCTACTTTCTGAAGTCTCAGGAGTTTTGACGTTTCGACTCTTTGGTCATGGACGTTTGTCCCGAGCAGTTTTGCATATAGCGGCTCGTTTAACTTTTGTGAGGGCAATAAATCTCGAGTTATCTTCAAATTTCTTTTCTTTTTTACTGCATGAAATAAACATCTTTAATTCACACTTTCATTCTGCATTGTCTAGGATGTTAGCGGCTTTATTTTGACTTACAACCAGTTCTCGGAAATCATTAGTTTTAGAACGCCCCTAATTTCTCTAATTTGTTGCCAAAATTCACATATTGTGCGCTGTTAGTACGCATCACTTTCTACATATTGCCAAAGTCTGAGTGCGCAACATCCAAAAAAAATCTATGAAGAAACTTCCAGAAGTATAGTTTCCACTTTAGTTTCCAACATAATTCTACCCATGATTTTTAGAGTGATCAAGTTTTCCTATTGACGAAAACTTTTGTACGATATAGAGAAGGAGTTCAAGTAATATGTTGATAAAGCAAACTCTACAGGCGAAAAATACTTTATCTCCCATAGCTTGCTTTCTAAATTTTCATGTTTATTTCTTTGATGCTGGCAAAATCTACACCTGGTAGGTTCAAATCTCACAGAACTTCAACCTGCAAGCAATTCGGATGTCATACCAAGCAGCTTTCTCCTCTTTTTGGAATTTTTTTTGTTTCTGATGCATGTTTCTGATGTAAAGTCTTTGATGCAATAGACATAAATTTTGCTTCAAACTCGCACCAGACGAACTCGGAAAGTTCGAGATTCAATACATTAAATTTCTGGAAGCTCATCTGCTTTGTAAGATCAGTGTTGAACCACACCATTTTTAAAGGTTTCAATTTCTGAAGATTATCGGTGTTTGACGCGAGGTAGGCCTGATAATATACAGTGGTTTTGATGAAATTCTATCAAAATACCATAGCGAATTTCATTTGGAGAAATTGTTTTGTACCTCGCAGGTGTGCTCTATCCAATCGTTACATGAATTTCTTCGAGAGGTGGTATAGAAATGTTAAGAGGAAATGGCGATAATTGACCATGACAAGTATGGGCTACAACTCCTTGTAATTATCTTGGAACTCATAAGTTGAGCTGCATTAACAATGCGACACCTTAAAAAACCGCAAAAACTGCATCAAATACTACCATACCTTCTACAAATGCTTGTTGCGAATTTAGCTCCTGAAAAAACCGAATTCGATTACCACCTAATTTTATGGCAAATGCCCTAAATGCTGCATTGCTATTTTTCGTGTCGTGTATACATGTTTTAGAAAAATTTATGTTACAACAAAGAGCAATCAGTGGTATGCCGTCGCAATACTACAATGAGCAGGAACTCCAAATGGTTGTTTGTAAGTGTTAATTCCTTATGAAATAGATCAAGTGATTGTTTTCTTTGCAGAAGGCCTTGAATGATTTGAAAAACGCAACAATGGTCAAATGTTTGAAGTCAATCTTAAATAATACTGAATATCAAGCAAAAGAAAGTGAGTCACGATTTTTATCAGTGCTAGAGTGTGAAACATTGAACGTAACATATTCACAAGATCGAAGCAAGACACAACACCAAAAAAATGTAGAAGGAAATCAGCTTGAGAATGATACTACACTACGCAACTCCGTGGAACCAATCTTAGGTAGGAAGGCAAAAGAGTAAGTGAGCTTGAAAGTACATCAACGAGCACTTTGGCTTGTTCTAACAATAAGTCCTTTTGTCGCAACCAGTTCACCCCATCTTGTTGAGGTCATATGCTGAATAGCAATTAGCAATTTATTTATTTATTTATTTATTAATACACTTGAAGTGTGCCGAAGAAAAAAAAAGGAACTCAAGTAAATAGGATACCAGCTAGTCTCAGAATTCAGGCAGATAAAAAAGACATGGAAGAAAACAGTTACAAATCAAAACTCAAGATCATTAAGATATAAATCAGTATTGGCTTGTCAAATGGCATTTGAAGTCACAGAATAAGTCCTAAAACCTTGCTTCCTCTAAAAATTTTAGTGGCCCACTTTTTGTTTTGCCAGCGAGCCTGCGGGCAAAGGCTAGCTGACTAGGCCCAAACAAGTTCCATTTTAGAGAAGAGCAAGGTTATTGAACAAAGAATTGAGTAAACTACTCTGGGAATTCATTTGCGGATTCAATTCTATAACATACCGAAAAATCTTCACTATCTTTTTCTGTTTTGGCTTCCTGAAGATGTAATCACATTCGCGCTAATTTTGGTACAACTTTGTTGAAGAGGAAAGGATAGGCAGAACCTTGAAATGACACCGCCATCAAGTACAATAGTGCGTAATATTTCTCGGAACTTTTCGAAACAAGCTTTTGAAGGGTCGTGAGATATTTTGCGCAGCATCTAACAAGGGAATGGTCAGAAGTCGAAGTGGCCAAACCAAACAAGCTGTATACCATTCGATGCAGTATAAAACGTTGACTTCGAATCTGTCTTTCTTATCTGCTTCCCGCTTCTGTGGACAAAGCTACAAGCCATTAAAGACCATTACTTTGCTAAGAAATTACGCGTGAAATTGAAAATTTAGCCGTGCAGAGCCACGTTCGCCTCACTGCTGGGCCAAAACATGCAGCTAGCCTACTTCAAATTTTTAAAGAAAGAAGCTGAGCTAAAAATGCAACAGTGTGCTCAATTTCGCTGTTTTTATGTGTGATTTTTTCAAAATAAAATCGCTTGTAGCTTCGTCCACAGAAGCGGGAAGCAGATAAGAAGGACAGATTCGAAGTCAGCGTTTTATACTGCATCGAATGGTATACAGCTTGTTTGGTTTGGCCACTTCGACTTCTGACCATTCCCTTGTAAGAAGTACTTATATAGCTGATTGAGATGTGACGTTAGCTGAAAGGAGAAAAAAAATAATATTGATTTAAACCAGGATGTTTTTTCTTGAACAATCTCTTCCAGCTTTCTCCAAAGACAAGAATGAGATCGCGAATGATACATTCAGTGAGCAAGTTTCTGAGCTGATAAAAATTTGTTTATTACTATATTCAGCACAACTCTCAACCCTTGTGCCTGGTAATTCTCTTCAAGATAAAAGAGCGAATAAACTGCGTAATTCTGCCAAGGAGACGAAACACGGACATCGAAGGTAGACGAGTGGTGTCAGACGAAAAACCGTATATAGACAAACAGATTTTGCTTTTCAGCACCCTTTTTGCTGCCTTGATCATATCATTAGCTCTGGCAAATACCGTATTCTTGGTTTTGCTAGCCATATGTTTGATTCTATATTTCAAGACGAAGAAAGATGAAGACATTAATGCCACAGCCAGGAGAAGCAGACTTTCTTCCATAAAACGGCGAAAGCGGAATAGGCCGAAAAAAGGGAAAGAGGAACACTTAACAAAGACATCACAATCGGCTCTGAGTACAACAAAGATGTCGCATGTAAAAGATGAGAGCAAGATGAAGAAGGACACTGGAATTCAACTTACAGTTGTCACGCCCGATAAATTTGATGCAGCGTCTATCCAGCCCAATGCTTGCAACGATCAAGATTTGCAAACAGCAGTTCAGTGCTCACCTGAAATGAAGAACATCAACATCTCTCCTGGTACTGGGAGCGTCGCACCACGTTCTACCACTTTACAAGTCGTACCGAAACAATCGGTGCAAATGCCAGTAAAGTCATCTTTTACTGGAGCGCAACAGAGTCCTGCGAAACCAGCTTTTCCACATATACCGTGGTTTCAGCCAAGAAGAGAAGACAGATCCGTATTTGCAGCAGGAAATTTACAGTCGGAACATGCATTCCAATAAGTAATCATCTAGCACTACTTAAGATAAATCAGTGGCGATAATAATGTATGACAGTTACTACTAAACAAAATGCGTAAATCGGTCAATAAACATTAAGTTCTATTTGTTCAAGCATTTTCAAGCAGGCTCAGTTCACAGAGATCTAGACTTTCTGCGTCTAAAGCTAATTTCCCTCAGCACAAACGTGAAGAATAATACATACTTAACCTCGGGTCATTTGTAAGTTAACCCATTGACGACGATGTGGACCATGGGTGGCCCACCCACTTTTTCCCGTCAGGGACGATGTGGGCCACCGGTGGCCCACACCCCTTGCAAAATCATATATTAATTTCCAGGTCTAGTATTTTTCCCAGAGTCTAGCATTTTCTCCAGTTTTTTGCATTCTTCGAACCTGTAGACTTCGACGTTCAAGCAGATGGCTGTGGGTGTTTACAAAACATTTTTACATTTCGTGAATAAGCGCAAAACTTTCCCGCGCCGCAATTGTTGTGCAAAATCGCGTCGTCCAGCAGCGCCGCCACGCAAAATTAGGCGTCGTCATCAATGGCTTAATATCTGAGACTGAACACTAAGCCCCCTATTACGACGACACACTTAGGGCCGCATGCACTAACCTCCCCGCGGGGAGGGGATCGCAGCTTAAAAGAAATCTTTATATTTCGAAACTCCAGATATCTGGATTTCACGTTGTGTACCTATCCGTAAGTATTCCTACTACCCTTTACTATGAACATGTTGAACAGGAGCGAGAAGCTGTACGAACCGCATTTTCCAGCTTTTGTATGATCCCTGACGATCCCCGGCGCTTTTCTTTGAAGTCATTTTTCTTACTCCGAAGTTAACGAAAACCTTCCAAAGTCGTACTGAACATCCGACACAACAGTGCTAAGCATGTTGCTGATGAGAACAAATGAGTTTCTAAAAAGTCGAATTTTCCGGCAAACCTCAAATTTCGACCTGTGGATCATCGAAAATTTCATGACTTCAAAACATCATTTGTTCTTATCAGCAACATGCTTAGCACTGTCGGTTTAGATAATCTGCACAACTTTGGAGGTTTTTCGTTAACATCGGAGAAAGAAAAATGATTTCAAAGAAAAGCGCCGGGGATCATCAGGGATCATACAAAAGCTGGAAAATGCGGTTCGTACAGCTTCTCGCTCCTGTTCAACATGTTCGTAGTGAAGGGTAGTAGGAATACTTACGGATAGGTACACAACGTGAAATCCAGGTATCTGGAGTTTTGAAATATAAAGCTTTCTTTTAAGCTGCGATCCCCTCCCCGCGGGGAGGTTAGTGCATGCGGCCCTTACTGGTAACTTTCCGGTGAGAGGCTTTTAGCCTGACAAAGTGTGAAAATGTGTCCTATTGACTAACATATAATCAACAAAAACAAATGAGACAAGGAAACAAGTAGACATTACTGGAAATGAGCAGGTTCTAGTTTTGCAGTTCGTCAGTTAGCGTATAGTGTGCATTACGCATAAGTTACGAATCACTTGACGATTTGTACGAAAAGATACAAAATAAAATCATTTTGAAGCTATTAATGGTGTGAGAAAGCCGTCCCTGTGTACATCGAGCGCCATCAATAAGACAATCCCAACTTCTCGCAGTTTCAAGTATTCTCTTACTCGAATTTTGTTAAAAAGGGAAAATATTTATTGTAAGGTCAGGTAACGCTGTCGTTGTACTAAGACTTTATTTCGGCAGAGTACATGGATGGAGAAGACTGCTTAGTAGCGATCATTCCAAAGTCTAAACCCCATAAAAAATTCTACTTGTTGGTATATCTCAATATATATATATATATATACAGGGTGTCCCAAAAGTATGTATCGAACGTTTGATCGTTAATATCTCTCTTCCCAAGAAGTCTTTTGCCTTGCTTCAAGTACCATTTTGTAGAGCTGGCTTCAACTTAGATTTGCATTAAAGAACGAATCACCCATCTCTCTTCATTACTGTAGGATTACGGTAGAAACTTGAAACATATGGTGTCAATGTGGAAAAAGCTGCAGTTCCAAAATTCTTCAAAAAATTGTGAAAACTTGTGTAATAGGGTTTTTATGGATGCTGAGTTCAATACTCAACTATTCACAAGATTACAAAGCTTTCTAAACGGTATAATCGCACTTTTTAGGAACATTGAAAAAATGGCCGCTACCTCTTACCTGGCATAACTCCTCAATGAAGCATCATAATAAGTTGGGAACTTTACAGTTATAATCAGCAACTCTAATTAGCCTAGTGTGAAAACTTTCAGGCTGTTTTATTTCCTTTCTAAGGCAAAATATGGCCTTTCATTGCTTAAAACCCTCTTTGAAGTTTCTGCCGTAATCCTACAGTAATGAAGAGGAATGAGTGATTCGTTCTATAATGCAAATCTAAGTTGAAGCTAGCTCTACAAAATGGTACTTGAAGCAAGGCAAAAGACTTCTTGGGAAGAGAGATATTAACGATCAAACGTTCGATACATACTTTTGGGACACCCTGTATATATACAGGGTGTCCCAAAAAAATGTGCCTACTGTTTGATTGTAAATAACTCTCTTGTAATGAAGTGTTTCGAGAAGCTTTAGGTACCGTTTTGTAGAGCGAGATTGAACTTAGATTTGCAGTATGGAGCGAATCATCGATCACTCTTCATTACTGTACGGCTACGGTAAGAACTTCCAGCATATGGAGCCATTGTGAAATATACCACCAAACAAAATTTTTTCAAAAAATCTGAAAAATCGTTGTACTAGGGTATTCGCGCATGCTGATTCCACTTAACAACTTTTTACGAGTGTTTTCAGCTTTTTTGAGGGTGTAATTACCTTTCTGACAAATGCCGGGAATTGATTTACTACGATTTACCGGGAATAACTTAGGAAAGAAGCATCATAGTAAAATGAGAATTTCAAATTCGAAACCAGCGGCTCCCATTACCGTAGTGTAAGAGTTTCCGGCTTGTTTGGTCTTCTTCCGAGGCAAAATATAGCCTCCAATGACCTAAAATCCTTGTCGAAGTTCGTACCGTAATCCTACAGTAATAAAGGGCGACAGATGATTCGCTCCCATACTGTATAAGTTCAAGCTCGCTCTACAAAACGGTACCTAAAGCTTCTCGAAACACTTCATTACAAGAGAGTTATTGACAATCAAACAGTAGGCACATTTTTTTGGGACACCCTGTATATATATATATATATATATATTAGGTTGGTCCGAAAGTTCGTTCGCACCATTTTCAAAAAATCATAACTTCCTTCCCTCGCAATGATTTTGCGCAGTTCAAATTTTATTAGAAAGCATGAAGCATGTAGTTTCCAAAAGTTCCCTGGCGACTTTCCAGCATGTTCAGATTGCAGAGATAAAAATGAAAGAACGAAAACATCCGAAATTCGGAATTTTTGAGAAACAATTCCAAAAATCTAGAAACTGCGCGATAAAATCCAGAAAAGCCATTATCCTAATTTTTCTTATATTTGATTACTAACTGAGTTAAGTTTGTGCTGATCGTGCTCTTCTTTCAAAAGTTATGATTTTTTTGAAAAAAATTCCGAAAAATCACTTTCCTAAGAATTCCTAAGAAATTGATTTTTCGGCATTTTTTTTCAAAAAATCATAACTTTTCAAAGAAGAGCTCGATCAGCACAAACTTAACTAGTTAGTAACCAAATATAAGAAAAATTAGGATAATGGCTTTTCTGGATTTTATCGCGCAGTTTCTAGATTTTTGGAATTGTTTCTCAAAAATTCCGAATTTCGGATTTTTTCGTTCTTTCATTTTTATCTCTGCAACCTGAACATGTTGGAAAGTCCCCAGGGAACTTTTGGAAACTACATGCTTTACGCTTTCTAATAAAATTTGAATTGCGCAAAATCATTGTGAGGGAAGGAAGTTATGATTTTTTGCAAATGGTGCGAACGAACTTTCGGACCAACCTAATATATATATTAGGTTGAACCGAAAGTTCTGTCGCACCATTTTCAAAAAATCATAACTTCTTTCGGTCACGACGATTTTGCGCAATTCAAATTTTGTCTGGAAGCGTAAAGCATGTAGTTTCCAAAAGTTTCCTGGGGACTTTCCGACATGCTCAGATGGCAGAGATAAAAATGAAAGAAGGAGATCATCCGAAATTCGGAATTTTTAAGCAAGAATTCTAGAAATTCAGAAACAGTGCGATAAAATTCGGAAAAACCATTATCTTAATTTTTGTTACATTTGATTACTAAGAGAGTCAGGTTTGTACTGATCGAGGTCTTCTTTTAGAAGTTATGAATTTTTGAAAAAAAACAAAAAATCCATTTCTAAAGAATTCTTAGGAAATTGATTTTTCGGCATTATTTTTCAAAAAATCATAACTTTTGAAAGAAGGGCTCGATCAGCACAAACTTGACTCAGATAGTAATCAAATGTAAGAAAAATTAGGATAATGGCTTTTTTGGATTTTATCGCACTGTTTCTGAATTTCTAGAATTCTTGCTTAAAAATTCCGAATTTCGGATGATCTCGTTCTTTCATTTTTATCTCTGCCATCTGAGCATGTCGGAAACTCGCCAGGGAGCTTTTGGAAACTACATGCTTTACGCTTTCAGATAAAATTTGAATTGCGCAAAACCGTTGTGAGGGAAAGAAGTTATGATTTTTTGAAAATGGTGCGACAGAACTTTCGGTTCAACCTAATATTAGGTCATTTCAAAAGTTCGTTCGCAAAGTTCTTTAAAAAATCGTAACTCTCTGCTGTCTGCCTAGATTTGCCTGGGATAATTTTTCCTAGAATAAAGAGATCATGTAGTTTCTGATAATGGCTTAAATTTGTTCTACCAAGCACAAGTCGCAGAGTTAAAAATGCAAAAAGAAGACCACTCAAAATTTGGTAATTTCAAAAAAGCTCACTAAAAGTCCTGAAACTTTACAAAGAATACCGAAATAAAAATAAACATATGTTTTATGTCCTCATCTTTCTAGCTAGGCAATTTCCTTGCTGAAAGACTGTTCTACG